CAAGTCCCGCCTCAAATCCCTCCTCTTCGACCATGCCATCGTCCACCCCCCTTCCCTTCTCCCCCCCTGACCCCAGCTCGGGTCTGAAATGTCCAGCAACTGGGGACGTCCTCCCGACATGAAAGGCCCTGTCAAATCTTGTTGTTGTATTGTCGGAGGAGCTGTTCTTTTGATTGAATGTTAATCCAACATCCCATTTGCCTATTCAAAGGTTAGTTAATGATGTCATAACTTCCTTGAAAAGAAAAGGAAGTTTATTTTGGTATAATTGCCAAATACTCAATGCTCTGAAATGTTACTTAAATTGAGCAAATCTAGACCCAAGTCTAACTTCTCCCCAAAGATTTGTAAATTAGTATTGAATATGCACACCCATTGACACTATATGTTACACAATCACTGTGTCACTGAACCGCTTTAAATATTTTACACATCATGTTTGGAATTATTCTCTGCTGTTTGGGAAATTCATCAACGACAACAAGCAGCACAGAATTATTCTCCACCTTTATGTTTACCTCACTTGGTTGATTTACAGGGTGCCCAAATGTCGTGACATAATTTCTTTAAGACTTATTAAACATTGTAATGGCATCACAGAACATTGATCACCCTGTACAATGGTATTTTCCATTATTTATGATTCCATAAAAATAATAGGCAAATTATATCCTTATGAGGCCGGTGCTGCACAAGAATGAGTGGTCTATGGGTAATGTAATTTTCCATTCATCTGTACAGGCAGACAGGACCTCAGTTTAATGTTTCATCCAAAGGACAGCGCTTCCAACAATGCAATTGTACACAGCCCCCAGCACTGCTATACCAAATGCAAGGTTAACAATGGTTTAAACTATATAAATTTAATCAAATGCAAGGATTATTATTATGACAATGTCCTGACGTGAGGCTTCAATCCACAACTTTATGACTCAGAGGTGAATGTGCTACCACTGTGCCAGGCTGACGCACAATGCAAGTGGAACCAATAGATCAAGCCATAAAAAAATGTTGTAGGCATGAAAGAAGATGCACAGCAACTGGTGGCATTTGGATTTTGTATAAATCATGCAGACAGATACCATTATTTAATTTCAAATGTGATCTTTACATGTGGCTGTGGGTGACCCATATTTTAGATTATTTGCAGTAAAGCCTGAGCTGAGTAAGTACTAGTCTAACTCGTTCTCATCATCCCTAACTCCAAGTCTATATGCATCTATTTACTAGATGTCTTGACCTTGTACTTGGTATTTGACTCTTTTTAAAATTGATATGTTTTGTGCATCATACGTTTCCACGAACAGACAATCACATATCACCTCCTCACTTGTCAGTCTCTACATGGCACAGTAAAATCCTAATCTCACTCCTCACCATGCCTTGACAAGGTGATAGGGCACAATATTGAATGGAAGGATTATCTTCATGTTACATATATCCTAGGGGAAAAAACAAATAAGTGTTCACAAGATGTTCACAAGCACGCAGATGACATTTTTCTGCATGGTCCTTTTCTCTCAGGGACAAGAATAGCAAGAGGATGCGTTTAATAGTTTATTTTCATTCAGGACTCACGTATTTCCCATGAATATTCATGTTAAAACACTGACGTCTTTGAACTAGACCTTGAGAATTTACTTGACTTAGAAAAATAAACAAGAGATTTTTTAAACTTATTTCCGTAATATCAAACCATTCTGTAAATGGTCCTTCAGATCTGTGCATTCTCCACTCTTAAATAGCTTCAATGGCACTCAACAAACTTGGACAAGAAAACAGAAGAGGTAATTGCATTCCAAATTAGAAAATTTAACCTGAAGGAAGTGGCTGCACTTCTGCAATGTTGAAGAGTATTGGTGGGAGGTTGAGGGGGAAATTCAATAGCATAGCAGTGGATCAATAAATCATTTAGATGGCAAAAAAATACAATTTTCATGGATGTGATATTACAAGGGAAAAAAATTGGCAGGTAAAATCCATAGTGCTTAAAACGCAATGGGGTAAAATGCTCTTTCATCTATAATGGTGCCTAGTTTGTAACAGTTTCTAATTCCCGTAGTTTAATTAATAATATTCCTTAATTTCTTAGATTTTCTGTTGACCCACGGGAATTCTGCTCTGGAAGTAAATTGTGTGAGAGATTGTATTAGATCCCCTCCTCTCTCCCTACTTACCTTCCACTGTGGGTTTCCTTAATTAAATAAAACAGTTGTACATTACACCGACTCATGGGATCTCTTCTCTAGTCTTTACTTTCAATGGGTTAATTAATTTACAACTACTGCAAGTCCCAACTCAGATTTCTGGATTAAGAAGTCCTATTAGATCTCATAACATGTTGGACCCACCATGGACCCATTTATGTTTAAATAAAACTAGATTCGTATTTGACTCTTATTTCCATCATTTTGATAGGTGGAATAAAATAGGAGGTGGAGAAAGCGGAGTGGGTCATAGCATGGATGTGGGGTAGAAAGAACAGTTGATGGTCAAACAAGACACCTGGGTTCCTGACTGATTCAGTGAGGTGGAGTCTGCATCCATGGATGCTGATGCTGCCAGTGCCTAATAGTTGCAAACCACAGTTGTTCTTGTTTAATTTTGCGACTTCCGTTTAGTGAAAGGGGCAGCAAATTCCATGGCCCATCAATCCCAAATTGGGAAAAGTCCAAAAACAAGCTGACAAGCAAAATGCCAGCAGGACAGGAAGCTACTTCTCTTAAATTTGACTGAACTCCGTTCTGCCACTGTTTGTCAGCTTGCTCAAACATCCTTCATTGACAACGTCTCTTGAAATAGTGTAATGATTAGATCCTGTCGCCTGCATAAATTAAGAACTATCAGTAGTAGTTGTAGAAGTACGAGGAGACCTAATAGAGGTTTTCAAAATCATGAGGGGATTTGATTAGGTTAGAAACGGAAAAACTGTTTCCACTGGTGGATGTGTCGGTGACTCGAGGTTACAGATGTAAAATAGTTTCTAAAAGAAGCAGAGGGGAGGTGAGAAGAATTTTTTTCACGCAGCGAGTTGTTCGAATCTGGAATGCATTGCTTGAAATGGTGGTCGAGGCCGATCCGATAACAATTTTTAAAAACACGCTGGACGGGTATTTGAGGAGGACGGGTTTGCACGGTTATGGGGAAAGGTCTTAGGAGTGGGATTGACATTACGTTGCTCTTTTCAAAGGGCCGGCACAGACTCGATTCGCCGAATGGCCTCTTTTTGTGCTGTACAATATTATAATTCTATGATTCTAAGCAACATTCATAAAAAACATTGAACAACAGAAATCTATGATACAATGGGAAGCCATTCACCCCATTTGGATTAACATCAATGTTGCTTTTTCCATTGAAGTTCAAAGAAACTGTCTATTTCATAGTACTCTTTAGCAAGAGATGAAAAGACATGGTGTTTCTTAATAAATTTGATAACATAAGAAGCTGTCTCGCCCCATCTCTATCTAATTTTCATTCCTGTGAAGAAAAACTACAACCTCAATCAAGCCAATGGTCATCTTTGGGACATCCTCCCCATGTGAAAGGTGCTATACAAACGTAATTTGTATTGTATCTTCCTTCCAACCCAATTTTTTTGATTTGTGAAGACATCTGAGAAGTTATTCTACTTGAAGGAAGCTGCATAAATGCAATATCTTATTGTGTCTATTGTGACATTAAATACATGTGCAAATACGATTTTGTTTTGTTCAGTCAGATTTCTGATACATGTGGAAATTTGTCCCACTGTTTATCCAATATCCAAACCAGTCCGAGGATTTCATCCGTTTGCCATCTAACCATGGAAATCTCCATGCGTCTGGAATGAAATGCACATTCTTACCCTGGAGGGATGCAGTCTTCTTATCTAATTTCAAAGAGTATCAGGTGCAGATTGGTGAGAACAAAGTATAGAGTATAGCTGGAGTTTAACCAGCTAAAAATGGGAAAACAATTTTTTGCCAAGTATTACCGGATTAGAAGATGCCCAAAATATTGCTGAAAATGCCTTTTATTTTTTCTAAATGTTACTTGGTATTTGACAATTTATCTCAAATGCTCAAATCCTTGTACTTTGATTAATGTTCTCATTATATTGAGGCTTGCCTATGCAAACTCATTGCTTGTCAGCCTCTCCAAATCCTCCCTCCATAAGCTGCAGATCATCTAGAACTATGCAGCCCGTGTCCTCTCTGGCACCAGGCTCCATGACCCTATAAACCGCATCCTCGCCTAAATCCTCTGGCTTCCCATCACACAGAGTTCAAGATCCTGGTCCTCACCTTCAAAGCCCTCAATGGTCTTGCTCCCCCCTACCTCCACGACCTCCTAACCCCCTACCATCCTGCTTGCTCCCTCCACTCAGCGGGCTCTGGCCTACTTTACGTCCTTCGCCTCACTCGCCCCAATATTGGCAGGCGGCTTCTGCCACTCTGCCCCTACCCTCTGGAATTCCATCCCACAGTCCCTCTGCCTCACCCATTCCTTGTCTCCTTCTAAACTCTTCTCAAGACCCTCCTCTTCAACCGTGCTTTCGATCTCCCTACTTCCCCCACTGCCCTCCATACTCCCCAACCCTGAACCCCAGCTTGGATCCCAAACTCTGTCTGTCCAGCACCTTGGGACATCCTCCTGACGTGAAAGGCACTTTACTAATTTAATTTTGTTGTTGTAATGAATAGGACATAAGGATTGCAATAATCCATGGGAGGACATCAGTGCTGCAGTAATCTAAAACACTGTATGGTGCAAAACTGTTGATTTAAGCATTTATCAGGATCATGGCTACAACACGTAACAATAAAAAGATATCTTGTAGTACTGACATGAAAATGCTTCTGTAAGATCACCCTTTGTGTTTGGTCTGTCTCCACATCAGTCAATAACCAGTTACCTTTCATTCCTGTTTCTTCGGTGAAGTTGTCTTGCATGAGAACGTCAAAGAGAAAACCTTGTTGCTTGACCTTATTTTATATGGCTGTTAACCCTTCTTTCAGATATCTTCCACCTGAAGGTTCCTGAATCCTCCCCAGTGGGATCAGCTATCGGCAGAATAAAAGCCAATGACGCTGATATTGGGAAGAATGCTGAGATAGACTACAGCATCGTTCCTGGAGATGGATTGAACGTGTTTGACATTACCTCTGACAAGAGCACGCAAGAAGGAGTTATACATTTGAAAAAGGTCAGGGTGATTAATGTTTAAAGTGAAATAAAAAAGGAGCCCAAGCCAGATGTCACGCTTGTAGCCTAATCAGTTCATGAAATGTTGAATATCTCCTCCTGATCTCATGTTTCTAAGATTTTTATTCACATAACAAACTACAGAAAACTTCACCTGCTGAACAACCCTAAAATTATGACTTTTCCTTTGTTCACCCGTGCTCCTTCATTCTGCCAACAAATATGGAGTGCTGCACTTGATATTAATAACCTATGTAGCACTGTGAGATGTTTCAACCTCATAGGCAACATATTAAATGAAAAGACATTTATTAGCCTTTTTCGTTCTTCTTTTGACCGATTTTTGATGCTGTTCACTGCTTTCTATTTTTGTTTGTTTCTTTGGCAAATAATGCTCTCAGTTTCTCATTCCGTATATACTTCTCCTTTCTTGAAGTTTGATTCACTGTTATCACTTGATTATACTCCCATGAAAGCCCAGATTGAACTAAATTTTGACATCAAGCACACACAGTATGGACAAATTCCTCATCTGACACATGATCTTGGTTTATTCGTGTCTGTTCATTCTTCTAGCCATTTCAATGTGTTTCACAATGTGTCAAGAATGTTTTCATGCAAATTTGCGTTTATTTTCTATCTGATAACAATTATATGTTTGCCGACAAAATAAACAGATACTGATTTTTACAATAAATCTTGTGACGTCATTTGAGATATCTTTCCCTTTAGGAAAGTGATTATATCAAATTATTATTATGTCAATAATTTGTGTTGTCAATCAGATAAAACTATGAGCTTTGATTTCTCATCAAATAACCTACTATAGTACAAAATCCAGTGATCCATCAATCTCATGGGGGTATGCAGTATAAAGCTAGTCAATAGATTATACTGTAGTAATTGTTTGTATCTGTGATAATTACTTAGTAATGTTTGTTATCTGTATGTGTTACATTTTTGAAAATACAGCACTTGCACAAACATATCTTTTTTTCAGATACTGAAAACCTCAGTTGTGCCTTTATAAAGTTTGACCTGAAATATTAATTATTGCAACAGTTTCAGTGTCAATTGTTGCAATGTCACCTTTAATACCTCTTTTGTTAATTGGCACTTTGTGTTTTCCTTTCCAAAGCCTCTGGACTATGAAAATAAAAAGTCATACATATTCAAAGTTGATGCTGTGGATCCACACCCTGATCATCGCTTCCAGTCCATGGGTCCTTTCAAAGACACAGCAACAGTGAAGATCACTGTTGTTGATGTGGATGAACCACCAGTGTTCAGCAGAGCCTTTTACATCATGGATGTGTATGAAGATACCAATGTGGGCAGCATTATAGGTGCGGTTACAGCACAGGATTCTGATGTCAGCAACAGTCCTGTCAGGTAAGCAAAACAAATGACATTTAATTTAATTTATCAAAAACTTTGTTTTACTTTATATTGTGTATGTTGTGATAAATGCTGCTTGCATAATACTTTAGAATTTGTGCTGAAACACTGGCTGAGTCATTAATAAGACACACAGAGAGATAGTGACTGAATATTTAATAACTTCAGGCAGTAGAATGGCTTGAAGCTGATTTATCCAACCTCTACAGATCGGGTTCAATTTGCTGCTATATATGTGATGGAAGTTTGACAGGGTCTCAAGCTGTGGTTTGCTAAGGACCCATATTGATGCTTAGGTACAAGAGTTCACTGGTTGTTACAGGGCTCAGCTGCACAATGTTAAATGTAGCTTTCACATAATTTTGGTCACAGGTTGAGCTCAGCAGTCTTTCTTATGTGTGATACGCTTGTCAGAGCTCAGCTGCCTTGCCAGTGAGTGAAACAGCCCAAGCAACTGAAGTCTTCCAGTAAATGTGTCTCCCAAAGAACCTGACTTGAAATGGTATCACCATTTGTGTTTCAAAGAGTTGGACTATTTAGTCCTACACAACTAGGATAAACTCTAAAGCAACCATTTTACTTTCAGGCCTTTTATTTTTTGCTCTTTGCCGACTTTTAGAAAGCACAATTAGACATTTAGCAACTGTTGTAGAATGGACCATTAGCAAAATGTGGACAAACCAAGGGTCATACAATAATATAATAAAGCAATAAAATGCAAGAGCATGATCGGTAGCTTTTTTCCAATCATCCCTAGTCACAAAAATGCAGAATTCACACAATATAATTTTATTTTGCATTAAACCAAAACACAACAAGATTCTTACTCTGATCTCTGTGTCTTGGGACGTCCTCCCAATGGGAAAGGTGTTCATATAAATGTACCTCAAGTGGTGACTGAAATGATAGGATGTGCTGTTCTGGACATGTTCTGACTGCCAGGACAATGTTTTGAAAGAAACTGCTGTGATGTCATAAGACTGATCAATACACATGCAAACGAATAGAAGGCACATATTCTTCCCCCATCCTGATATGATATCGAACACAGAACCATCTTACAGTCAAATGCTTTTTGTATTAATAAGATATTCTATGAAAAAACAAATTAATTATGCACACGTTCCCTGATTTTACAAAATTCAGCACTTACAGACCAGGAACTCACAAGTTCAACACCCTGATTTTACTGATGTTACTGGCCACGGGAAGACTAAACTGACCTGGTCCTCCCAGATTTAGTAAGGGAAAAACAGCTTAGTTTCGTACTCTTGGCCTTTCTTCTGCCTCCTCTGCTGGTGCACGCGTGACAGCCAGCAAGCTAAAGGCCAGGCTTGCTTTGACATCCTTTGCAATCACTGCCAAGGCTCACACATGAGCAATGGCCATTTGGGCAGCATACCAGAGGATATCCCATGCTGTGTGACCACGCTCCAGCAAGAGAAGGTCAGACCAGGAGCAGAGAGGATGCGATACCAGGAACAGAAAAATGTTTGTCAGTAGGGAGAACATTAGAAAAAATATTAGACACACTTTTCTTTAATTCAGCATAACAAAATGGTGTCATTTTTAAGCTACATAATCTTAGAAAATTTATGGTTAGTTTAGCAGATATCAGTAGATATATATAAAGAAACAGTTTATCTGTGGAAGAGGGTGTAAATCACTGTGTCCAGCACTTCATGAGTCAATAGGTCATGTCGACTCATGTCTTTGGGTGTTGAGTGCACATTTTCATTTCAAGGACTTTAATGCTGAAAAAACAACTATTATTACAGTAATAAATCCACTCGTGCTTGAGTAAAAACTTTATTACTGGAATATTGAATTTAAGCCACAAAATGTGTACAGAAATCCCTAAGTAAAGTAAAATTGAGTAATTTGAAACCTACATCTGTACTTCCATTGTTCCCACATTCTGCAGTATTTTTGCTTTCTTATTCTTTCTCTGTATTTTAAAAATGTTTGAAATTTATTTTCCACCCTTTTTCCTTGTTTGATCACTCCGACTCATAGAGTGAGGTCTGAAACGTTGCCATTTTATTCAACCCTCGTCTCCAGTTCAAGCCTCTATCATTCAGGTTCTGACCATGCCGGCTTTCCTCCATCTTCACAACATCGCCCTCTTCCACCACAATCCCACTTACAATACAGCCAAAACCTTCATCAATGGCTTTATCACTTCTGTTCTCGATTTTTCCAATGTCTTGCTTGCCAGCCTCCACAGCTCTACCCTCAACAAGCTCCAGATCATCCAAAACTCTACAGCCTCCTTTTTCCCCCACCAGTAAATTCCCTGAGCCTTTGCTTGCCCAGCTCCCCCAGCTACCTGTAGCCCTTCAAATCAACGTTGCAATCCACATCCTCAACTTCAAATGCATCCACGACCTTGCCATACCTTATCCCTGTGACCTCTTGTGATGCAAATACATTTTCATTTCACCAACTCTGACCTACTTCACAATTCCCGCTCAATCAGCCCCACCATCAGCAAGTGAGCTTTCAGCCACTTTGTCCTGACCCTCTGGAGCTCTGTTCTGAAATCCCTCTTACCTTGCTCACTCCCTCTCCGCTTTCAAAACTGTTTCAAAATATATGTATTTAACTGTGCATTTGACCACTTATACCACCTATTTCCCTCCCAGTTCAATCTGTGACTCTGTAAAGTACTTTGAGATGGAATCTTATGTGTAAACCGCTTATAAGTGCAAATTATTATTATTGGTGGTGTTCTTGTATCCTTATTCCAAAATATGTTCAGGCTCCTTCCATCTCAAACTTTGTTTCTCACATTTGTTTTTCTCTGGAAGGTGGGAACAGCATTTTAAAAAAAAGTTATCGCGATTGGTTTTAAAAGCTGCTTTGACAGTCGATCAACAGCTACAGCTTGAGGATTAACAGGGTAAGGGCATTGACCCTCTCTCCAGAAAAAGTGAGTGAGATATTGGAATTGTAGTCAGCCTAGTTAGCGTTTGTGAATTAATGTCAGTGATACCCTAGGGAAAGGAGAGTCCCCCTGCACCCCGACCCCCCCCCCCCCCACACCACACATACACGAACACACGTAAATACTAAACAGTGAAATTCTAATGATTTTAATTTCAGAAATATAACTTAATTAAGCAATCAGAATGCCATGTTGCAATATAACATTTACAGAATGTTTATGCGAGCACAGGGACAAATTCACCAATTTTTCCAGACAGAATAGAACTTAGTCCACATCAAGAACAACAACTTGTATTTATATAACACCTTAGCATCTTGGAGTGTCTGTGATATGGCAACTGTAGATCATGGGGGCAGATAATCCACCTGGGTCCAGATTCACTCTATTTATGTTGCATTTCAGTGTCCAAAATTTAGCGAATCGTTGAATTCAGTCTTAATTCTATTATCAGTTTTCTATAATTTTCTTAATTATTTGTCAAAGATCTGCCTTCAAAATTGAAGCTGTATTTAAGAATTTTTCAATTTTTGATGTTCTAATATGCTACATAAACAGAATCAATCTAAGGACAGGTGGAATTTCTCCCCAATAATTTTCCTGGGGAGATCACTGCTTTGTAATCATTCCCAAAGGGAACACCTCCTCATCTACCAAACAAACATGCACAGTAACAACACTTTAGGAGATATGCTGTGAAGTGCTTTGTGATGTCCTCCTGATGTGAAAGATGTTATGTCACATGTAAGGATTATTATTTCTGTGTTATATTACTGTGATGCATTTGTTCAACTCATCGATATATCATACTTATTGTTCTTTATTGCACATAATGTATTTCCTCCAGGGCTCCCTTCTATGGCTTTGTCTCAATCTGAATGAATGAATCACGTTGGATGATTTAGGATATGTTCACATTTTACTGAACTCACAAACTTGAGATGAGGTCTACTTCACTGGCTGTTAGAGGTAGTGGTGACTCCTGATTCAGAAGTCGCTGTTTTAGGCAACCATTTAACTCATGTAAATTTTTGAATTCAAATTAGAAATTAAGATTCAGACTTGCCAAAGCAAGCTCATCCCTAAAGTCTCTAATCCATCAAAGATGTTGTGTCAGTCAATAAAATTAATGTAATGTCACTGTTTACCATGGTCAATCATGCATCACTCTATCAACTCCCTGCCTGTGGCGTATTTCTACAGCCCCACTTGTGATGTGAGATGAAAATCCTCATGGATCATCCACCGAGAGACAACGATTATATGTCAGAGAAAAATAAATGAGCTGTAATAATCATGACAATATCAGCTGCAATACAAATCTGCACTATTATGCAGCACCAAGTTGGCATAACAAACATTGCAAAGTGTCAATGAAGTGCAAATTCGCAAACTTGCATGTGTTAGTTATTGCTAATTATCAATATTAAGAGCCTTGAGACGTCCTCCTGATATAAAGGTGCTATACAAATGCAATTTTGTATTTTTTGTATTGTATTGTGTTACTCGATGTCTTTATTGTCGACCATTCTATCCTCCTACACAGTCCCTTCTCTCAGCTCAATCTTCGCTGATATACCCTTGCCTGGTTTGAATCCTACTTCTCCCACCGTCTCCACTTTGTCGCCATTAATAATAATAATAATAATCCTTGCATTTGATATAGCGCTTTTCACGGCTTCTCGACATCTCAAAGCACTTCACAGAATAGACTGTAAAGTGAATTGACTCTATATTTGTGGGCGAAACGCAGCAGCCAATTGCGCACAGCAATGTCCAACAAACAGTCGTGGATTGAAATGACCAATTTATTGTTGTTTTGTTTTGGAGGGATTATTATTAGGCGTGTGGAGTAAGGAAACTTGCCCAAGGAATTGAACCACTGAAACTTGCCTGGAATTGAACTCAGGTGTCTCGCTTGCAAGGCAAGTGCTCTAACCACTGAGCTACAGGAATCCACAACGGCTTTTCCTCCAGCCCGTGCACCATCACATGTGGTATCCCTTGTGGCTCTGTCCTTGACTTTTTTCTTTTCAATATCCATATG